GTCACACTTTATCTATCTATCTATCTATCTCTCTCTCTCTCTCTATATATATATATATATATATATATATATGTATGTATGTATGTATGTATAAATCGAAACGAAAAAATATAATGTAAATCGAAATATGTTTTTTTTTAAATGTGTTATTGATAACGAATACAAACTTTTAGAGCGTACAGTCGTAACGCTAAGGTTAAATTTTTTGAAAATTCAAGAGAGTGCGTTTTTTTTACTGATATGGCAATTTGAGAATTTTTTGTTCTAGGAGTTTATCTATAATAATATAACAGTAATTGGAATGGTTGGAAAGGTATGGGCAGGTGTTTTTTGTTTCAAACCTTTGATCTGCTTAGGTGTAGGCCTTGGTTGATGAACAAATTCAGTTTTATTTATGCATATAATTAATATATATATATATATATATATATATATGCGCTATTTTATATATATTTATACACACACATATAAGTAATATGAATTTTTTTTCACATAGCTCATGTTTACTTCGGAATTTCGTGGCTATATATGTATAACCACTCGTTGGAACCGAGTTAATCTGCTCGATTAAGATTCTCTGTTCTGACGAATGGTTATACCTTTGTAGCCACGAAACTCCGAAATAAACATGAGTGAAGTGAAGAAAAGTTTTCATATTAATTCTATTAAAGCTCTATATCCGTCTTCTTTATTGAACATAAAGCCTGCTTACCTTAATGCCTCCTTATCAGTAAACCATTCAAAAGCCAGCAATTTGGGCTTCAAAAAGAGTTTTTTAAATTAACACACACATATATATATATATATATATATATATATATATATATATGTATAATCAGGGAAAAACGTGTTGATAAGGAAAGTTTATATTTATATATAAAGCCAAAAGGAAAATCTTTCTTTTTTTTTTAACTCGTTTTATCCCTGAAAGACATTAACAATTTAAATTTAGCGATTTTATTTTGTAACTTGTATTTATAAACATAAAGTGGAATAACAATATCGTGCTGGTTAAATTTTTAAATTAAAATCGCTCATTTAATCTTTTTATCTATTTTTAATATTTAAATATTAAATATTTGAATACTTAAAACATCTAGAGTTAAGCGTTTTCTGTAACTTTTAAAATTTTTGATGGCCATATATGTTGGCTTGCGAAAAAGGCATTTTCTTTAGGAAAGGTGATTTTGAAAAAATCCAGGTCGGAAGTTAACGCTTTGGCATCAATCTATAATTGCACACTCTAGAACTGTTCATCCTAGTTATTCTCTATTAATAAGAGTGACATCATTCTTCCGATCGAAGTTTTGGTTGATATATGTTGCGGACAAGTGTATGCGTTTCCTAACTAGCTGACTTTATTAACGTTGGTGTTAGGGTTGAGAAATAAACACGTGTCTCCTGAAAATATCCAAAACAAAATGGCGGACTCGGAATGTGAGTCCACGTAATAAAATGTAGAAAACTACAATATAAAATATATATGTACAAAAAAATGATAAAATATTAACAACAAAGGTATACACGCGACAAAATTAATGTGTGTAACAAATGAATGTAGAAACCGTTTCGGCCTAAAGAATTTATTGAGTGGTTGGGAATACGTACGTGCGTGTGTCTGTGTGCGCGCACACGCGCATGTGTGTGTGTCTATATGTGTATCGTGCATGCGTTTCCCAAAGGGAACGTGTTCTCTGCGGAAGGTTCGAACCATTCGCAGAGAACACGTTCCCTTTGTCGGCCAATAAGACCAGAATGATTGAGAAAATATCGCAGATTATTTACAGTCTGGAAAGCTCGCCTCGTAGCGTTTTCGGAAATTAAGAAGGTATATATATATATAAACAGTTAGCCATCAAGGTCCTGACTAGGATCGACGTTGCACGGGAACTAGTGTTTCAACAAATCATAGATAGTATAGACATATATATATATATATATATATAGATATAGTTAAATTTTTTTTTTTTTAAACAACATTTAAAATATTTATGACAGTTAGATTTAAGTTAGGAATATCCGAACAGTGACGTTCCATATCACGTGACGTCCGCGTCTCGCGAAGGATACTACTTGCTAACAAACAGTAATTTTAATTTATTTGTAACAAACAGTTATTTCTGATGAAAGATTGAGGACAATTTGAAATATCAAATACATATATAAATAAATAAATACTTTCATAAAATAAAACATTATTATTTTTTTAATTTGCAACTTTTTCTATATATATATATATATATATATAAAGAGAGAGATACAAATCAGTAGACTAATACATTTATATATATATATATATATATATATATATATATCAAGTATGCTGTGCAGTTCAATTTACATTACATGAATCCATCAAACAAAAAAACAGATTAAATCATTAACTTCTATATCTGTTTTTATATGAATGATATTTTTATATATATATATATTTTTTTTCTGAGGTTTTAGAGCACATTTGGACTCTACTTTGAGCAATAAGAATGTATAATTACTATCCAAGCTTCACAGAAATATCTTGATGAAATCGATCATAAACGAAAATGATATTGTCATCATTAATTAATCATAGCAAAGGGTCCGAAAATCATGAAGGTTTTAAATAAATTTGATATATATATATATATATATATATATATATATATATATTATTCCAGGACCATTTTCCAACTTATTCAAGACGCAAGATGATCTTCGTCCTTTCTAACATTCTAACTTTCCGTCCCGGAGTAAAATATGCCTGTCAGATTTCACCTACGATTTCATTTTCAAGTCTTTTTTCCATTGCTCTGTCATAGCTGAAACTCCTCTCTCATGTCCCAAACGCCAAAAGAATTCAGTTCAACTTTTTTTTTTAATTGATATCTTTAGCTTTAAGTTGAAATGATAATCATTCCTCCTGTTATGACCTCCTGATACAGTTACCTCGCTACTGTTCCCTCTTTCAGAAACTTATTCACTCTTCTCTTGATGGTTCTTGAATTTGAAGCGAGTATGTATGTTGGTATTGTTACTGAAGGCCTGAATGATGTTTTTCCTCTGACCATTGCTCATGTAGAAAGTGAGGCTGACAGAAAACGATTTTAACCTGTCCTCTTTCCAGCTGAATAAATCAAAGTGTTTTTTTCAGTGATTCTTACGACAAATGGTGTCTAGATGGCTTAGCGTCTTATCTGAAAACCTAAAAAAAAAGAAGAAACTCAGGTAAGATATATATATATATATATATATATATATATATATATATATATATATATATATATATATTATTTGCATATTAAACATTTTGTGGGATAGACAGTTATACTGTTGAACGATGTGGAAAAATTTTCTGTTACAACCCGGACACACACACACACACATATATTTTGTTTGGATTGATGTGAGTTTGTGACCCTGGGGTTTCACGCTTTTGCGATCGTCAGACAAATCCAGGGTCACAAACACACATCAATCCAAACAAATATGTTAGCTCTATCTCTGATATTGAGCGCTTTCTAATAAGTACCCGCATATAATATGTAAATAATTATATATATATATATGTATATATATATATATATATATATATATATATATATATATATATATATATATATATATATATTTATATTATATATTATATATATATATATATATATATATATATACACACTTTTCACACACACATATATGTGTGTGCGTGTGTGTGTACATGTGTGGATTCTGATATGGATTTTGCGCAGAAGATATGCCTCAATATCTGTTTCCCCAGTATAAAAAAGTTCAAATCAAAGTGAATGGCCACGTATGTCTTAATATACGTATGAAAGACATTATCAAGGCGGGAAAATTAAATTACTGAATCTACCGTACACTCTAATTTGTTACAAGTCTACTAATCAGTGTGAATGCGTTTGCTGCCTGCAAAAGTGACGTCATACTGACGAAATGTCTCGTAGGTTGCTTCAGGGCAAATACATTTCCTGTTCAGTATTCTCGGGGTCGGCTGCAACTAGTAAACAAACTGAGATAGATAATTATTCGACTTAAAGTTGATATGAAAAAGGCGTTTCGAAATGAGGCTCACAGTCGGGGATATCAGTACAGGTTGAGTTGAAATGAAAATTGCAATAGTAAATAGTCGTTTCCCTACAAGGAATCATTTGGCATTTATTGACCGAGTAGTCAGAATTGCTTCCGGTTGAAAAATTATTAATTATTTCTCTTGAAAAAATTTTTTTCAGGAAAATTGTTTTTTTAAGTCCAGTAGCAGTTATAGCTCTTTCTATTATTGACGAGGGTTTCCTTCCTAAACTTTTGTTTGAAGTAGTGTGGAATGTCAACATCTTGATCATGTTATTTTCTCTTCGATTTATATGTATTATCGATTTTACTTGTTGCTGTTGGTAGTCCGTAAGTGATGTGGTGTCCGTTATTTTGTACAAATATTGTTTGTGATTCCTTAGCGCCAGGTTCAAAGAAAGATGGTCTTTGTCGTAGACTTCAAAGGCATTTTTCAACCTTACTTTCGAACGCGGTTGTAAATAGCTCACAGTTTGGTTATTTTCGAATGGATTTGGAGCCATGTATGACATCCATATGAAAGTCTAGATCTGACAAGGCTCTTTAAGAACATGTCTCGTGTCTTCAGGTTATTTTTTTTTGTTTCGTAGCAACTTGCGGTATTGGGCGAAACTATCAATGGCGAAGAATATTCTACATTCAATTTCCATTTTTCAGATCATATAGCTTACTACAATCTGTAGTAAGCGTGTTGATTTTTTCTTATTATTTCACTCCAAGCAAAGTAATTAAGCCACTATGATGCAAGGAATTACTGAGTGTAAAATAATAATCGAAAAAGAACATTATCAAGAAGATAGAACAACACAAGAACTGGAATTAAGATGGAGAGACTGACAGATACATAGCAATGAATAAAATTAGATGTTGCTTTATGTATCTTATGTATACTGTAACAGGCATTGATAGGTATAGATAGAGAGAGAGATATTAACGGCTTTAGATAGATAGATAGATAGATAGATAGATAGATAGATAGATAGATAGATATGAATAGACTGAGGCGTAGATAGATAGATAGACATAGATATGAATAGACTAAGGCATAGATAGATAGATAGATAGATAGATAGATAGATAGATAGATATGAATAGACAGAGGCATAGATAGATAGTTAACATAGATAGGAATAGACTGAGGCATAGATAGATAGATAGATAGATATGAATAGACTGAGGCATAGATAGATAGTTAACATAGATATGAATAGACTGAGGCATAGATAGATAGATAGATAGATAGATAGATAGATAGATATGAATAGACTGAGGCATAGATAGATAGTTAACATAGATATGAATAGACTGAGGCATAGATAGATAGATAGATAGATAGATAGATAGATATGAATAGACTGAGGCATAGATAGATAGTTAACATAGATATGAATAGACTGAGGCATAGATAGATAGATAGATATGAATAAACTGAGGCATAGATAGATAGATAGACATAGATATGAATAAACTGAGGGATAGATAGATAGATAGATAGATAGATATGAATAGACTGAGGCGTAGATAGATAGATAGATATGAATAGACTAAGGCATAGATAGATAGATAGATAGATATGAATAGACTGAGGCATAGATAGATAGTTAACATGTGGATAGACTGAGGCATAGATAGATAGTTATAGATATGAATAGACTGAGGCATAGATAGATAGATGGATAATATAGATATGAATAAACTGAGGCATAGATAGATAGATAGACATAGATATGATAAACTGAGGATAGATGAATAAATAGATAGATGGATGAATAGACTGAGGCGTAGATAGATAGATAGATATGAATAAACTGAGGGATAGATAGATAGGATTAACATAGATAGGAATAGACTGAGGCATAGATAGATAGATAGATAGATATGAATAGACTGGGGCATAGATGGATAGTTAACATAGATAGGAATAGACTGAGGCATAGATAGATGGATAGATGAATATGAATAGACTGAGGCATAGATAGATATGATAGATAGATGTGAATAGACTGGGGCATAGATAGATAGATATGGAATAGATGGATGGCATGAATAGATGATAGATAGATGGATGGATAACATAGATATGAATAGATTGAGGCATAGATAGATGGATTAACATGAATAAACTGAGAATAGATAGGCATAGATAGATAGATAGATATGAATAAACTGAGGCATAGATAGATAGATAGACATAGATATGAATAAATTGAGGCATAGATAGATAGATAGACATAGATATGAATAAACTGAGGCATAGATAGATAGATAGATAGATAGATAGATAGATAGATAGATAGATAGATATGAATAGACTGAGGCGTAGATAGATAGATAGACATAGATATGAATAGACTAAGGCATAGATAGATAGATAGATAGATAGATAGATAGATAGATAGATAGATAGATATGAATAGACTGAGGCATAGATAGATAGTTAACATAGATATGAATAGACTGAGGCATAGATAGATAGATAGATAGATAGATAGATAGATAGATAGATTGAAAACCTGCAACTTTTACGGGAAGGAAGCATCATCATACAAGTTGCCCAGAAGATCGCCTTACTAGGAACATCCCATACTCTAAG